TGCTGTGTATGTATTGTCAGAACCAGGTTTTAGATAGAGTACCATTGTCCCATGTACTGTTTCTCTCAGCTAAGGTTGGATAATAAATGGCATCTTCTGCAAAGCATTTCGTTAGATGAAAAAATCAGTAATTATTCATTTCTCTTCAAAACTGGGCATCTACTATCAAGAATGAAAGATCCGGGCCAGAAGGGAAGGAAGGCTTGTGTTAAACGTTCAGCTTTAAAGCTAGGCAGGCAGGTTACACCCAAGTCAGTAGCACAGCAGCAGTCTTTTCTTACTCTCTGATTCCTGCTGTAAGATGATAAAAAAACATTGGCAGCTGCACAGCTCTATGCGATGGTTTAATTGCATTCTGGACAAAGCTAAGTTCCTTAGTATGCTGATTTAGTTCACAGAACACTGATAATAGATGAGGGAAGGGAGGCTGACTCCCAGCTGAATGGCTTATTGCTGCAGCCCATGTTTTTAATCCACAAGAACAGGAGATTGCTGCCTTTAGTTACAGTTCTTTTAAAGCCCTAATTACATATTTGGTGACAGGTCTCATTTGACATCTGTTAATCAATACTTCTGTTTATTCCCCTAAGGAGGTAGCTACCTGAAGGTCTAGAAGAGGAAAGAAGTCCGTTGTCTGCATTCAGTGCTCAGGAACTTCAGCAGTATAACATTTTTCCATTTTGTTCTTTTTCTGTTGATTTGTTGGGCGCAGATTGACTGTGGGCCTCTTAGCCTAGTCAAAAGGTTCTGCAGTGTTTCCAGCCCTGTGAGCTTAGGGGGAATCATGGCATCTGGGATAAGCAAAAGCAATTTTAGAAGAGCTCTGCTGCACAGCCCGTGTCCTAGAGACATCACTGTAGAGTGCCAGATGCAGCCTCCTTGGAGGGAGCACAGTGTGGGGCAGAAGTAAGGCCTCCCTGAGTACAGAACTCATCACAGGTACATTGGTTTGCTCCTCTTCCTTGCTTGGTCATTCAGCTGTGTCTCAGATCTCCATTGCCCATGCGTACTTGTTTACCTGTGCATTTTGTAAATGCACTTTTTCACTCACTGTTGAATGCCTAAGTCCTTCCCAGGGCTTTTGCAACAGTATGAAATTCTTAGATACCTACAGTCTGTCCTTTTTCCTTTGGAATATTTATTAGTCTAGAACAGGTACAAGTACACACAGTATTAGGAGTAGCAGTGGCAGTAGACAACCATTAGTGTGCAGTCTTACTGTCTGAAAGCACCAGAGTAATTAGTTATTTTCATCCTTGTTTGGTTGCAATTATAAACAAATATAATTTTATGAACTTTGTGAAAAGTAAAGGCTTTACTACTTTTATGTCTGACAGTTCATCTCACATGGTAATATTCCTCCCTCTTTAGCATAGCTAAGTTTCAAGTAACACTGACTAGAGAAAGAGTTTGTTTTATTGGGCCTCTCTCAAATGGATGTGTGTCAGGGAATGTAAGTGAGTGGAAAAAGTCTGTCTGGCAAGAGGCGGCGTGCTGTGGTGTATTGCGTTTCGCTGACATGAGAGGAATGTGGCAGTGAGGTCTACAGTTGCTGGCTGTGGGCGCTCGCGCTCCGGCTGAAAAGCAGATTGGGATGTGCTTTTTGCTTCATTAAGCAAAAGGCTTTCTGCCTGTGGCATGAAATGCTGTAAAACACAGTGGAAGTATTATAGTGCTTGTTGTTAGGCAGGACTGTCGATCTCAAACGTCCAAAAGTCGTATATTCCAAAATGAGATCCGTTTAAAATTTAGAGCTGTAAAAAAGCTCAACTATTTCCTTTCTCTTCTCAAATTGTATTTAAGGGAAAGCCGAGATCCTCACCTCAAACATAAACCACACTGTAGAAAACTTACAAAAATGCTGTAAAAGTTTTTAACAGCGAGCCAGGCGTGTTCTGTAGAGGCTGTGTCTGTATAACCTTTGTGATCGTAAACAGGATCTATAAACTGGGAATGCAGTATGCAGGCAAAGCTCCTGGCACTTGCAGTCTGGCTGAGGTTTGCTTACCTTTAACGAAGCTCCCTGACTGTGCTAGCTCATGTTGTTGTGTAGCTGGCCAAAAGGAACTTCATGCCAGTCTGAGAAGCCTGTGTTATGAGGGAGAGTCACAGCAGGGCAGTTTGAAGACTTAGAGCCAGATCTGCACCCAAATATAGCAGCAGCTGGTGTAACTTCTGCAGTCTCCCTGAAATAGCGTCGTGTGCATGTTGCAGTCAGCAGTAGGACTCCAGTTTACAGAATGAAGCACATAAAGCTGCGGGATGAATTAGTATCCTTGTGTTGTCTGCATCTTCCAAAGAATGTCAGTGCTGACTTCGCAGAATGGGAAGGAGTAAGGAGTGGTGATGCCTGAGCTTTTCTCCCCATTCTGCTGAAGCAGCAGGCTGCAACTTTTGCGTTTTGAACAACTGCACTGATAGCAAACAAGGGAAATGGAGCATCTGTGATCCTGAGCACTTTTGTAGCACTGGAGAAGCAATGCTGGCACATGGGCATGTTTAGGATCCTTTGTTCATTGCTCCTATTGACCTGCATTTTATTCCCAAAGAAAAAATAACTGTGGAGAACACAGTACGTAAAGACCGAGATACAAGAATTCCTCTAAGTACATAAAGTTTATATAAATGTAAAATTGATGTTTGCCATTTTGAAAAGCATGTGCTTCTGTACCTTTGTGGGTGAGACTGTTGGTAGGTGAGCTGTAGATCTGGTTCTGTTCTGTCTGTTTTGAAGGCACTTGATCTTTTTCTTCTATGCAGCTCTGAAAGAAATAGCAAATCTTGAAATAGCATTTCAGCACCATAAATGATTCTCATTTGACTCTCTGACACTTGATTTTGGCCACTCAAACCACCCCTTCAACTTGCCTGTGGCTCAGTCACTCCATTCAGCCAGTTCTTCCTCGCACAGCTAATTCAGATGAAAGTCACCTTTCTCTCAAGGATGCTCCAAGCATCTATTCAACAAGGCTAAGCCCTTGGGAACTCTTTCAGGCAAATGTAAACTTGCTCTCAGGTCTACATTTAAACCACCGTTGTCATTGTTTTGGAGAACTGTATTAGTTATAAGGGACTGATGAATAATCCAGTGATCTGGAAGCACATCGTTCTGGCTCAGGGAGCTGTCACCACTACAGATGGTGCTTTAGGTCATGGAGGTGTATGTTGTGCACTTCTGCACCCTTGGATCTGTCAGTTCACTGCACGGTTACTTGTAATTGAAGCCCACTGAAGTCTACAAGCTATGCCATTCAGTTCATAAGCATCCACTCTGTCCCCATTAGAAATATAGTCTGAAGCAGTGCCGTGAGACATTTTACTACCAGGAAAAAATACACAGTTATAGAGAGGCTGTGTGTATTAATTGTTTATCTTGCAATCAAGAAAGGATAAAAATAATCCAGGGTGAAACATGGGGGGAATTATAAAGGAACACGCTGTATTTTTCAGTTGGAATAATGCAGACCTTGCTGAAGCTTTTTCTCTAGAACAGGAGGTCTAATAACAGCACAAGTAAGTACACGTTTTTTTCTCTAAAACTGACTTAAAAATCGTGTAGCTCTTGAGAAGAGGCTAATTGTGTTCCTTTAGCTTCAAGTGAAAAATTAAATGTGAGGACTTACTGTTTTCTTGGCTTCTTAATCTTTCATATTGTTTCTTACATACTCAAATTTTAGACACTTGGGCATCAGTCAAGTTCTGCTTCTATTGTTCTATTGTCTGAAAAATAAAATGTGTAAAGGAAAAACTGCCACACATTTAAATACATAGTATTGTTACAGTGTAAGTACCATTATTGTAATTAAACCACTTGAAAATAGGAACCATCAAATTTTTCTCTGAGAGACTCTGCCACCTGGGTGATTTTTGTGCCTTTGAAAATCTCCCCAGAGATTCAATGTACTTTGCTTCTCCTGGTTGTTCTTGAAAGAAAATCGGCTTTTAGTTCTTCGAAATCTGTTGGCTTTTTAGCTGCTAGTAAATACGTGCAGAATAAGCACTGCAGAATCAAAAGAAAAATAAGTTATTCCTCCCACACTTGCAGTTTGACTTGCTGTTTGGTGAAGTCAATAATCTGATTCTTACTGTACCTGGGATCATGGATTAAAGTAGATCTCTTTGGCCTGGATCAGGAACCTGCAAGGTATCTGCAAATCAAAGCAGAGGGTGAGGAAAGGCACCAGAGAAGGCAAGTAGCTTGGTCCCATGTTTAATGGCAGAATTAATGACACCTGTGTTGCTCCTTCAAAAAATTCACCTTGCACCCTGTTAAAAGCCTTGCAGAGGTCGCAGAGATTCTAGCACCCAATGAGGCCTTGAACAGATTTTTTTCCAGTTAGGAGTGTTTTCCTGGTGACCAAGCCATTCCATCATGTGCCTGTGATTTTGTCCTTATTTCACTTCATTTGGGGGAGTGAGTGGGATGCTGCCACATCAAGGAAGGGGCAGGGGAAGGAAGTACTCAGGTGTGTGGGAAGGAAGGTCATGGAAATGATGGGCCTAAACAGGATGAGGAAGAGTAGAAAGTGCTACTCATCCAGTCTCCTTGTCATCATGTTTCTCTCTATTGATGGGGTCAAGTCTGTGTTACTTTGGCGATGTTTTAGATATGTACTGAATGTTTGTATGTTAGGAAGAAATTCTTTACAGAGAAAATGGTGAGGTGCTGGACCAGGCTGCCCAGAGAGGTTGTGGATGCCCCGTCCCTGGAGGTGTTCAAGGCCAGGTTGGATGGGGTCCTGGGCAGCCTGGTCTAGCATTAAATGTGGAGATTGGTGGCCCTGCGTGTGGCTGGGGGTTGGAGATTCATGATCCTTGAGGTCCCTTCCAACCATGGCCATTCTGTGATTCTGTAAGAGCAAAGTTTGGAAACTGAGCACAGCTTCAGTGCCTGAGAAGCCTGGGTTTCTTCGGACCTATCTGCAGATTTGAAATATAGTACTATGTTGACTGAAAGATATGAGCATAATGCCCTTTTTCTGTCTTTTCTACTCTCACAGATGAACAGGAGCCAGCAGTCAGCAGCGATTCAGATATTTCATTGATTATGGCAATGGAGGTTGGACTGTCCGATGTGGAGCTTTCCACTGACCAAGATTGCGAAGAGGTGAAGTCTTGAAAAACAAACAGATCTCTGAGACTAAACTACAGGGGAGGGCCACAGGGAGGGACCGAGTGGACCTTCTAGGATTTGGACCAGTCACGCACTTGCCTCCGGAGCACTGTCACTCCTGCACACTCCATTCTGAGATGGTCACGAAAAGCAATAGCAACAGTTGTGTCTGCCTGGATGCAGTTCCATCGTCTACGTACATTCGTAATGTTCACATGGGAGATGAATGCTTCCAGTTTGCCCACGTGCTTGAGAGCAGCCATGTAACTCTTGAGTGGCTCATAAATACGCAACTGAAATGACAGCTTGAGTGTTTTCTACACTTGTTCAATTGAGTTTTTGTTGTTTTTTTTTTTTAAGAGGTATGTTTGTTATGTTTGTTTGTTTGTTTATAGTTTGTTATGAATAGACATTCTTTTTGTTGACTGACCCCCAGCTTTTTCAAGAGTTCAGTCCAAAAACCTGAATTCCCCGTTCAATGGTTACTTAATGATCCCACTCCAGGATCTATCATTGCCTGTTATTACTTCATGAAGTACACGTGGCTTCAGAGGCATGGTGCACCAGCATCCTGTGTAAATGTGAAACCTGCTTGCATTACGTGGAGCCTGGGAGATGGTGTAATCTGAAGGTCTTTATTTGTAGGAGCGCTCTGTATTAACAAAGACTGCTGAGATTTGGTTCAAAACAGCATTATTCTGTCTTCTTCGTACAGATGTCTTTGAGACAAGTATGATACAGAGTTGAGGGAGAGAAAAAAGTGTCTTGTAGTCCTTTGCTGCATTGTATGCTGTTAGTACAGTATGTTAGTATGTACTACATGTTAGTATGTACTTTTCCTTGCTTATATACATGTATACCAAACCATTCTGGGTAGAGAGGAAGGAATCTGAAAATTAACAGAAGTAACCCAAATCAAAACATCCAAATAAGAATCATTTGTGATTTAATCCATCCTTAACTGCTCTTGCAGAGAAAAGCTTATGATTACTTGTTCAATGTAAAATTTCATTTTTCAGTCAAAATATTCAACTGTGAAAAAGCATTCTTAGCTTCCTGTTTTACAAGAGTAAAGGGTTTCTGTTGACAGTCAGATGATTTGAATCACATTACTGCCTCCTGAGTAAGTCAGCAGAATCAACGATTCATCTTACATTGGAATTTCATGGAGAGGTCAAACGTTTTCACTTGTATCACTGCAGCATCTCTAAACACAACCATTTGGGTTTCTTGCTATATTTAAACTTCCTTTTAGATTTGCTCAGCTGAGGAAAACAGCTCCCACCCAAAATTCAGCTTGTCAGATTTTATTCAGCAACAAATGTGTTTAGAACTGTGCCGAAAGTTCTGGACAGCTTGCTTTTTTATTGTGGGAAGAAGGAAGATTTATACTCCGTTCTTTGGGTTCAATTAGAATTCAGTTTGTTTTAGGGCTTTTTTTTTTTTTTTTTAATGTTTTTAGCCCGTAAGTTGTAGGGTATGTTTGAGGCTTGAAAACCATGATCCAGATACGTGCCCTGATGTTTTTATAAGCCATTCAAATGAACATCTCTCCTTAATTAATGAAATGCAAGCAGTTTGGAATCTGTTTCATTCGAAAAGGACGTTAGAGATTGTTAGGGAGCGTGCAGCTGAGTCACTCTTGCCAATATTTGTGACCCTGTTCCCTGCCACTATGCGTAATGCTGCCACTGTCAGGGGGAATTATGCTTAAATTCACCCCTTCACAATAGAGTTTACACCAAGTACCACATCAGCCCCACTTAAGCTCTGAATATAGTGCTGAAATGAGATACAGGTGGTGCTTACACCTCCTATTGGCCCTTTACATAATAGTGAAACGTCACCGATGACTGTAGGGGGAAGGCAGAAGCTGGTTATACACAGACAGGGCTCCCAGTGGGAAGTACAGATGCTGGTATATTATCTTCTGTAGTACTGGATCCTGGGTGCTTCATGTCACAGAGCATCATAACACGATGTCTGAGTTGTCAGTGGTCCTTTCACAGCTGCCTGCTGCAGCCCAGCACACAGACAAAGCCTTTGACTGAATTGCTGGAGTACCTGCCACAAAGTCTTTTTTGCCAGAGGAATTAAGCTAATGGACAAACTGACTGATTATCTGTTGCTATAATGGAGTACCCCGCAGTACAGCACAGCAAATGAGGTCTGTGTTTGCACCAGAGGCTGTAAAAAAGGCAAGGCAGGACATGAAGCCTCCAGTTAATGGTGAAGGGGGTCATTTGCCTGGCAAAATCATTAAGGGAGCTATGCTGAATGCAGCAGCACATCGTAACTGAGCCCCTGCCCTTAGCACTAGGAGCAGTAATACTTCTCCTGAGTACCCCATCCTAGATCCAGTCCCTTGGCATTTAGGGCTGGCCACCATCAGGGGCAGAGTGCTTGGCTGGGTACGGTGTTTTTATGTCTCACCATATTCTGGTCTTACAAAAGAGTGGTCGTAGCTCATCTGGGCTGGGAGCATTTTGGCTTTTGTTTTCCAAATTCTACCTGCAGTTCTGCTCAGGAAAGATTTTTCTCCATCTCTCTCTTGCGGTGTTGCATAGCTCTGAGTGCTGTGAAGTGGTCACAAGTGCAGAGGCAGGTCACACCTCACTGAAGGCAGAACTTAGGAAAGCATTTACGTAGATGTTCTAATCCATCCTTGTTCAGAAAAGCACTTATGGTTAATTTTGGGCTTGTACGGAAATGACTTTATTTTGAACAGGTCCTCTATGAACGTATTTAAACCCCTGTGTCAAATGGAAATGTTTTCCTAAAGTAGGACCTGGCTGCCAGTGTTTTTTGTACATATGACCTGTGGATGCCTTGGGAATTTGAGGTGCTTCAGAAATATTGAGACCTCAGAGGTTTGTTTGTAACAGACGAAAGCCTTAATTCTGCAGATCTGCATGCCCGTGCACAGTTTTGCCTGGGTGAATCTCTCCACTGTGATTCTTCACAGGGTAAAATTAAACCTCCTCGTTGGCACATTTGGGCAAAATTATTCCCTTCCTGAGAGCGTTTGGCAATTCCTCAGTACTGCTGCCTGCCAGCCCTGCATTAAGCAGGTGGGATTCAGCTGCCGGGGGCACAGCACTACCTGTTCAGAACAGAGAGCAGCCTTTGGCCTGCAGCGATGGAGAAACAAAATCCTCAGGTGCCCTCTGACAAAGAGTGCTCAAGAATGTAGTTCTGCTCACCTGCACAGCGTGGCTTTACTGCTACAGCCACTGCCTGCTGCCAGGACAGCACGGACAGGGCAGGGCTTACCTCCTGCACAGGGCTGGCGGCTGGAGGACAGCACAGCTCTCTGAGAAGTGTTCCTGTTGCTTTTCCTGCTCCTGTTCACCTGAAGCTCTTTCCTGTTATTTCCCTATAGCGAATACTGTGTGGGAGAGCATTTGCCAGCTTGTCTTCATTCCAGCTGTGTTGAAGAATAAACCTTGGGCAAGCAGAGCCCGTGCTCTGCATTCCCTTTGGTTTTCATGAGTTTCACTAAGCTGCAGGTCTGTTTGATAGGTAAGAGACATAAAAAATTGCATGAGTTCTGTGCTCATAGCCAGCCTAATGTGTGTGCAGGCATGCAGGGCACCAGCTCTGAATCGTTTCCTCAGCTCAGCTGTTCTGGTGGATACCCTTGCTGTGGGTTTGGGGGGTCGTGTGTTTTCCTGACTGCCTCAGAGCTTGGGATACAGGATTGGGACGGATGCAGTGCTACAGTTTGTTCTTTAAGCATTCTACAGAATTACTTTCCACATATGCGTATGAAAGTACATTGATATGTCTATGGAAACTGTAGTGAAAACAAGCTGCTGCCATTTTTAGAGTGTTTCCATATGTGAGAGAACATGGCAATAAAGAAAAAGGCTTTGTGGAAGCAATTTGAAATAAAAATCCTGAGATCATATATAAGAGGTCCCTGGGATCTCGCTACTTTACTTTAATGAAATCTGGGCCAGATCCGGATGATGATGTCGCAAGAAGGCCAATACTTTGTCTCCTATTGAACAACCAGTTTGTGATATGTTCTTGTTTTGTGGACAAAACGAATCCAAGCACTGAAGACAGAGGTAGCTCAGAATTCAGTGTTTCACAACGAATACACATTTTGTGATCCAAAATCTTTGTTGTCGCACCTGGTAATCCAGCCTCTCCTCCTACTTGCTGAATAAAAAGAGGTGCTCATCTAACTTGAAATATGTCGAGCTCAGAAGATGCTTGCACCTGAGTGGGTTGCCCTGGCAGATATCTATCTGCTGATCTCTTAACACCTCTATGGACTTTTAGTCATTAGTATACAGCTGCAGATTCTTCATAAAATATATTTTAGTTCCCATTCTGGTATAACCTGGCGTGCAGTTGTCGCATAGATTTTCCAGTCTTTTGCCTTGCAAACTTTTTCCTTGGAATGTACACTACAGCCCTAAGAGGGGATTCAGGGATGAACAGGCAAAAATCAGAGCGTGAGCCTTTATAGACAACCTGCAAGTCCTCACTGTGGCAATTGGTCTGCACTGAAATGATGAGACAGGTTGTGCTTGGCAGCAGGAGATGCATTTCAGCCCAGGCAGTTGGGAGTCTCCCAGGTTGTGTTTACAAGAGCCTCATTCCTGCCTGGTCTCTTGTCCATAGAAAAGCTAATTTCAAACTAAGCATATAGTTTGAAATAAGCCAGGAGAATGAGTCCACATGCCGTGCAAACCATGAAAATCAGTAGTTGCTTATTACCTTCTATTTCATTAGCAAGAATGGAGACTTTTTAACCATTTGTAGTTCTCATAGAGCCTTGTTGGATGAAAGTTTCTGGTCTGCTAGAAATACAGGCTGGGGCAAGGTGGCTGTCTGAACAGAAGGCAGGTATGGCTTGCTGTTCTGCTGCGTCCATTTTGCAGGACTGAAATGGTAGAGAAATCCATCTGTCACAATGGATCGCTCCAGCACAAGGAAAGGGAATTGGTGGGATAAAGCCAACGCCGTTCAGCCTTCTCTGTGGCAATTTGTGCTGCCCGAGTTTCTCGTAAGGGGGGTGTTGTTCTAGCGGGCTATTTAATAGGGACAACTGATCCAACACAAGCACTCCTTGAATTCTAACAAGCTGTTACCTGGACGAATGGAGAGTCGTGCGGCTGAAGCGCCAGATGGGCTCCGCGCTCGGGCTGCGCGTGTAGCAGATGGCAGCTGCGGGCTGGGAGGCGGCGAGCGAGGGCGAAGGCTGCCCTCTGCTGTGCGGCATCACCGCGGCTCAGAGCCGCTCAGCTCGCTTCCTCCTCCCTGGTTCTGGCTCTTCTTTTCCATGGGAAAAAAAAAAAAAAAAAAAAGCTTTCTCAGCACGAGCTGTATTTCAAGGAGAGAAGCAGAGGGGGAAAGATGGATGAAATGTGTTGAGGGAAAAGCCAGTGGATGGGTTTTCCATCTGAAATTAATCTTGGCTCTCTTGACTATTTTAATTGTGCATCGGTGGAAGCTATTGCTTTCTGGAGCAAAAGCCAAAAAAAAAAAAAAAAAAAAGGAATATAAAGAAGAAATAGCATTTTCCTTTTTAGTTTCTTTCCCAATTCTTCAGTCTGGGTAGTGTTAAAAAACAATAGCAAGATCAGGACGCTTGGTTGCTCCAAATTATTGCAGCTATCCCAAATCTAAACATTTTGTATGTGCACATAACGCCATCCTTCCTTCTTGCTCCACGTTTGGAAGCTGAAATTACTGTACCATTTTGTAATTAGAAATGTAAAGAGGGGACAGCGGGTGGGAGGGTCTGTTCTATCTATAGCAAGATGTTCCTTGTATTTAGTGAACACTTCAAATGGTTTTGTACTTGTCAAGATATACATTCCATCCATTTCCAGAAGAGAATTACTTTTATTTGGAGTAGTTTATAAGCAAACCAAAACAAATTGCGGTGTCCTATTTGGACGCAGCTCATGAACAGAGCAGAAGTATTCTGGTTTCAAGTGATGGCTCCAATGTTTTTTCCAGCAACATCTCCTCTCGCATGCTGCAGAGCCACACCAGCAAATGCCAGTGTTAAAAAGGGAGTGGAGAAAAAATGAATGAATACCATATGCATCAGTGCACAGCTTGCCAAAGTAATTTCCAGTTGGGAAACAACGTTCTGTATCAGTGAAGTTCTCAGAGGCGGTCGGTCCCGCAGCGGGCAACAGGACAGGGTGTGCTGCAGCCCTGCTTCTCCCTGCAGCTGACAGCCTGAGAAACCTGGGGCACAGGGCGAGAGCATCACGCTCACACACTGCATCTCAGCATCTGCGGGGCCATAGGGATGGGGACGTGGTTTTGGCCGAAGTCGTTCTGCAGGTACTGGTGCTGCACTGGTTTTGTTTGAGTGGGAATTGGGGTTGGGAAGCAGCTAGTGAAAGGCTGTGACAAAATCACAATGTGGCGTTTGCATGGGCAGCTCTTTTTCTTCCCATCAGCTTTTTTTTTTTGGTCCTCCTACCTGTGAATGTGCTGCCAAAACGGCAGTAGCAGTTTGTGAAGCGAGCCTTTTTTCTAGGTTTACTTTCTGTATCGCATTGCAAACACAGCTTAACTCTTTGCTGACATTTTATGATGTGTACACCTTCCCTTCCGATGCACTTTAGCTCTCTTGAAAAAAATGTGGGAGTCGGAAGCACCATCCTAAAGGGATTTGCCTGCAATCATGAGGCACGCGCTTTTCTTTCCTTTTCATCTTGCTTTGTTATATACTGTAAATGCTATAGAGCATGGACAGTGACTCAGCTGGGGGAAGTACTGAAACATTAAGGGTAATATTTGGAAGCGTTATTCAGTAGTACAACACGGCTATTTTTGTTATATAGAAGATTATAATGTAAATATGTGAGACTGTGTTATTATGTACTAGTAAAATATTGCAACTATCAAAGTTAAGATTGTGAATTTCAAGGAATTTTATTGCAAGTTTTTTAATAAAATGAATCTGATGACCGTGTCCTATGTATTTTCTAACAGACAGCCAAGCTGGCGCTCTCTGATGTGTGAAAGTCATTGTTTCTCACTGCTAACTTTGGCACCGGCAGAAAGCAGAAGCTGCAGCCAAGAGGGACCCAAGCTGCAGCCTGGCTGCCTGCTTCTGCCTGGCTCTTGTTGTTCTCCAGCTGCTTTTGATCAGAGAGCAGCAGCTGCTGGGGTTGAACACCTCCATCCCGAAGGGAGAGCTGCGGTCACTCTAAGTGCTGGGCATCGTGTGTTAAATCAGCCTTATGGTGTGACGACCCTGCTGTGCCACATGCAGAACGGCACTGCTGGTGTGAGGAGTCATCAAGCTGCTTGTCCCTGGATCCTTCATCCCCAAAGGTGTCGTTGCTGGGAGAGACACGGCGCTGTCATACATGCATCCCACGGGACTGACATATGCAGCATAGGTGTGCTGCTTGCAAGAGGCTGGGGGCACGGTAAAAATCCTGTCCAAAAGAAATGTAAGAGACTTGAAAGTTTTCTGGAAGATGAAGGGAAAAAAAAAAAAAGAAAAAAAAAAAAGGTGTCAGAAAGCCCTGAAAGAGCTGCAGCCATGCTGCAGGCACACAGCTCTCCCCGATCCTGGCTCATGATTTCAGCTTGGCAGCTGATGCTCCCAGAAGGCACGCCTTGCTCCCAGCCACAGCAGTGCATTCGAGGTGTGGATGTGCCAGGTCAGCTGGGGCCTAACACACATCCTCCAGAAGAAAGGGGCAGCTGTGCGTTAGGTAAAGCCCAGCTCCTCAAATCTGCCCTGCCTCGTTGTCTCGCTCACTCCCGCTGAGCAGGAAATCAGCTATGGTTTAACGTGTTTCTGTCAGCAGCACTGGGAATTTATGCTGCCCATCTAACCTGTGCCTGCACGGCCTGAGCAACCTGTCCCACCAGCCCCACTCCACATAGCCAAAATAACCCCTGGGCTGCAGAGGAAGGTTTGAGGTACCGCCAGCCCAGGCTCCAGGTCTCTCTCTTGCTTTGTCCCAAGTCCAAGCACAGGGGGGCGGCCGTGGGAGAGAGCAGGGCCGGTTTCCCCCAGCAGAGTTGCTATGTGATCTGCACACACAACACAGCTGCTGCTGCTGCTGCAGATCTCGTGGGCGGCAGCACGCTCGGGTGTCGCAGCAGCAGTAACCCAGTGCTGAGCTGCTGGGAATGGCATCAAGGCTATAAATAACCAGGGGCGTAAGGCAATTAATTCCAGGCTGCAAGCACATACGTAGGGCTTGGGTTACATCACTCTTTTCTGCACAAATGTGCTTCATTTCTAGTCCAAGTGGAGAAATAAGGCTTTGCTGCTCCATACTTTTTTTTTTTTCTTCCCTCCAACAGGAATAAGTCAAAATGAACTCACTCCCACGATTCACTGAGGTGACCTTCAGATCCATCACAATCAATAGAAAGGACTGGATAGTCTTTTCTAAGAGCATTATCCAGACTTGCACTGTGCCAGCCTATCCAGGGTCCATTCTCTCCCATGAGACCCAAAATGTGGTAGGAAAGCGAGCAAGCTTTGTATTACACAGCTGAAGGTGCCCTAAGGGCAGCTGCCTATGCCAAGTTGTGGACGTTAACTCCAAAGAAAATGGCTCTGAAAAGGCAGCACTGCAACATGGGGTGAGAGGGTTTGGGGACATCCTGCAGAGAATCTGGGCTGGATAGGGCTCTCCAGGCTGGATGTGGTTCTGGGCAGCCTGGTCTGGTGGTTGGCGACCTTGCACGTAGCAGGAGGGTTGAAAATAGATGATCATTATGGTCTTTTTCAACCCAGGTAATTCTCTGATTCTATGATTTTATGATTCTATGAATAAGAGGGCTTGAGGGCCAAGAAGAAATCCATAATGGGTTAATGCACTCATATCCACGATAGATGAGCCTTAGGAAGTCAATGTTCAATAAGTCAGGGTGCAATTTTGTAATGCACTCATTCCTGAGCCTTCACTCCTCATGCAAGCAAGCTGAGAATATATGCAAGCCCTGGTAAAAGATGAAGCAGGGAAAGTAATACCATTCTCACATGCCTTGGCTGCCCTCTGCTGTAGGCCACCCCTGCGCTTCTCTGGCCGTCCTGCTAGACAAATGCAGCTTGGCTTTGTAGTCTGGTCTCTCACTTTTGAGATAGCAGACAGGCTTGGACAGAAAGGCCAGCAGTGACTCACAGTGGCTGAAGCCCAGGCAGATGTCCTCCTCCTGCTCTAGCTGGAAAGCATGGTAGCTTCTGGCAGAGGGACAGAGCAAACATCTGGGAGCAGTAATACATCAGATGTGCTGGCCAAGCCCCAGAGCTCAGATAAGGTTGTTCCTCTGTCCCTGCTCTGGGCAGCTGTGCTGGTTCCAACCCAGATTGCACCTGAACCATATCTGACTGAACAGAGGCCAGGAGCAGATGCCAAAAAAGAAGCAGCACCAGGGTGGTTGCCTCCTCTATGTCACTCCTGGCCTTTCAGATATCTGGCACACCTCTGGGGCTTCCTAGCAGCAGGGGCTAGGCTTGCTCAGTTGTGTTTTTTGTGGTTGCTTTGCTGTGCCTCAGCACATCCTTGCTGCCTTTCTGCAAACCCCATGAGCCTCTAATGAATTACACAGCATGCAAGTCCCAGCTACAAGAGCTAAGGCGAGAGATATTGACATGGCAGTCCGAAGCCAGCAAGCACCAAGTAATGTCCTTGTGGCCAGCAACAGTGTGCGTGGTTAGAAGCTGGCAAAACTGGGGGTCAGAAGCAAAACGGGGGAAATGGAAGGAGGTTTTTTCACACGGAGGGGGGTAATGCACTGGAACAGGTTGCCCAAGGAGGTTGTGGATGCCCCATCCCTGGAGGCATTCAAGGCCAGGCTGGATGTGGCTCCGGGCAGCCTGGTCTGATGGTCTGTGGCACCTGAAACCAGGTGATCATTGTTGTCCTTTTCAACCCAAGCCCTTCTATGATTCTATGAAACAGGCAGGCAACCACCCATGGGGGAGAGCAAAGAGGATGCTGAGGTATCCCAGAGCTCGCATTGTATGCGGCTGATGGACGAACTCCGCTTGCTGACCATCACCCGCTCTCTCCCCGCAGAGCTCGCTGGCCCCGCACCTGGCGCAGCTCACGTCACCCGCGGCTGCAAACCAGGATCCGTTTTCCACCTCCGGCGTTTCCCCACCAGGCGGCTCTCGCTCCCTGCAAATGCGTTTCCCTGCGCTGTGCGGCCGCCTGTCGGAGCCGCAGCGATCGTCACTCGCAAACCAAAGCAGGGATTTGGGTGAAGAGAAAAAAACGCACCGAAGTGGGATTCTGCCTGTGGGGTGCTGTGTAGCCCAAACACCAGGAGCCCCAAGCTGCATGCAGGCATCTTTACAGAAGCACAACCCGACGGCAATTCAGGTGCGCTTTGGGAGCATTCAGTCCTCCAGCCAACATCTGCACCTGTGTAGGCTGAGTTTCAGGCCCACGAGATAAAACAGTGTGGTGGGAATGCTTTGACACGTGAAATATTTGATCGGTTTGAGGCTCCTGCCCTGAGGGTGGCTGGGTCTGAGAGTCAGGCAAGCAGCAAAAACTTGGATGGGGAGAAT